ACCCTGACTGCCTACACCACAGGCATACACACACACACACACACACACACAGATAACTGAGCCTCTCGGTCCGCAGCTTTGTCATGTGGTCGCAGTCAGGATTTAGCCTTCAGTCAATCTGCAGATTAGGCACTAGGGTTACTAGCTGGCACCAATCACACACATACACACACACACACATATATATATGCATACACAATGTCATGTGGAATCATGTATTCAGAAAGAGATGGAGTGTGTGAGCTGAATTGGGGGGGGAAGACACTTGTTGCGTGTAGCGGTCAAAGAAAACAACCAGACTGGTGCCAATAGGCTAAAGTGGCGATAAATCCAGAGTTAATCTTGTTAAGACTCCATACAAAACAAGGCAAAAGAACAGACAATGTGTTTGTGAAGCACACTACCACTGAACTATTTGCAGCTTGAGATTGCACATTGAGTTTAAGTCTCATACATAATCTGCCATTTTAATATCTCACACAGTATTTATTATTTAGATATATTTTCCGTAAAGCAAAGTTATCCTCTAAAAGTTTAGAGTTCAAAAACAAGAGGCAGTATGATAACTTTAAGGCAGAAACTACCACAATCAAGATGGTGTCAGGCAATAGGAACTCAAACTGCCCCCTGGTGAGAATAAAACTAAGAATAATAATAATAATAATAATAATAATAATAAGATTTATGGTTGTCTTTGTCATAATATTAGCATCTTTAGACCTGTAGACATAAGGTCGACTTTCCATCAGTTCTACAGTTGAATGAAGGCATTATTATGAAGGGATGTTCAGTAAATGTATTTAGAAATGAATGAGAATGTGTCAATGAAACGAGCATGCATTGTTTCCTGTGGGACGTCTATGAGCAGCGGACCTGATGTAATAACGCGGCATCTTTGCGTTTGAGGATGTTCGCGTGTCTCATCATCATCACCACACGTGGTACGAAACCTACCGCACCGACCGAGGTGTGTGAGATGAGTCGGTGGGTTACCTCCGGTCTGTGTGTGTTCATACAGTCACAGGTAGTGGAACTTCACCACGACACACAACAACAACAACAACAACACAATAACACCTAAAGTTGCATCATCCTGGGCAGCACGATACTCACGGATGCAGAGGCAGGCCACGACCTTGGCCCCGTTCTCCGGCACCGGGCACACGGGGAACAGGGGCTTGATGAGGTAGGTGGCGAAAACGTAGGCGACGATGTACTGCGAGGACGGCCGGATGATGAGCAACTCGATCCAGAGTTTGAGGAAAGCCGGCAGGGAGCCGTACACCTCCAGGATGTAGGCATAGTCTCCCCCGGACTTGCTGATGGTGGTCCCCAGCTCCGCGTAGCAGAGGGCTCCCACCGTGGAGAACACCCCACACACCGCCCACACGACCAGGGACAGACCCACCGAGCCGGCCTCCTTCACCACGCCGGTCGGTGTGACGAAGATGCCCGAGCCTATGATGGTGCCAACAATGATGGCCACGCCGTTCACCAGGGTGATGGTCCTCTTCAGCGTGACCCCCTCCTCTCCTCCGGCGGCGTTGTCGGGGCTCTTGGCGTCGCCTCCCGGTGCTCCACCCCGGTTGGAGTCGTCCTTATCCCCGCTGCCCGGGGACAGCATCCTCTCCGTAACCTGCTTGTCCTCCTCCCTGTCTGCCGAGGAATTGGAGTTTCTTTTCTTGAGCCCAGACATCGTTGGCTAAGTTTCCTCTTTCTTCTTCCTCACTCGGGGCTTCCCACTTTCCCGCGGGTCCGTTCCTCTCTCTGTTCGGTCCGCTCTGTGGTCTGATACCGGCCGGGCTCAGCCACGACGAGTCAGCGGTGTGTCTGTGGGTCTGTCAGAGAAGCGTGCTTTCTCGTGTCTCTACTCTACCCACGTACAAAGAAACGGTGTAATTTAGCATCATGGCCCTCCTCCGTCAAGGCCAGCCCCTGTTTTAGATCCGCGTCTCCTCACTGGCGTCTGTCTTTCGCTGCCCTCTAGCGGCGGACTGCGGCACTGCTTCCCTCCAGCACACTGCCTCGTCCCACTCTTTCAGTCTGTTCTGGGTTTGAGGGACCAGATGGCCCCACGTGATGGACCCCGGTCGGGTCTACATGGCTTCATCTCTGCATAAAAGGACAAGGACATACCAATAATACAGCACAGTAGCAGGAAACACTCAACACCTGAACCAGCTGGCCTGGTTTTATGGCGCTCTAATCTCAGAGACTCTGATAATAGCCTGAGGGCACTTGAACTGGAAGCCCCTAGAAATGGGGATTCAAGACATCTTGTGTCATTTTATGGATCTGGACCATTTTATGGACCATCCTCTTCAAAGCGTTGTGTAGCCCAGGGTTCAGAAACCTCTGAGTCAGGAGTTAAATGTTGGGTGTCACTCACTCATTCAGGGAATGTAACGTTTCTGTCAGCAGCTGATGTCACTTTGTATCCTCGGCTATGCAAATGTTGAAAGTGAAGTATTAACATGTTATGGTAATTCCAGTCTTTATTTTGCACACTTCTCTAGCAGGGAAATCTGTTCCCGGTCTTGGTTGCATGAGTGTGTTTTGCATTGGACAAAATTATATTCAAAAGTGGCAAGTTTGTGTCCTTAATAAAGCACCACATTTGACTCTGATGAGTATCTTCAGACTGGCCAACTGACAATGTCAAGTGGTTGATTAACCTCCAGATCCATTGTTTTCCTACATTATGAATTTCAACTGCGCGTGTCAGGGTAGACTTCCTGTTAAAGCTGCACTGTAATTTAAGAAGTTTTTCTCAAATGCAAAGGCGTGCAGTTAAACCACAGGAGGAATTTCAGGTGATCATGTTTGACAAAGAAGAGCTGTTTAAAGAAATAAGATACCAGCAGAGAAGCAGTCAGTAGCACAGTCAACAATGACAGTGATGCCAAACCCAAAAGAATGCTTGTAAATGCTGCACATCCAACTGCGTCCTAGGATGCCCCAGATTTCTGAGTAGACAATTAAATAATGAGGCTCCTGGGAAAGGCGTGGCAAAATATGTGACAAAGTTCTGAGTGTGTGTTTGGAGCCAGGCCTCACCTCGAGTGCTGAAGTTTTATATTTGAGGTCACTTACGACCAATCAGGAGACTCTCTGGCTCACCAACACACACTGTAGATGTGGCTGAAAGACAGAAAACAAGTCTGAGCCATGTTCTTAATACTCTAAACATACAAACACATCCACTGACACACACACAGACAATTTCCTTTGTTCGGAGCAGATGGACGCGGTCAACCTTTATTGGCAACAAATCCCGCCTAAAGGTGCGTTCTGATATTGTCTCTGTCCGTCTGCACAAAACCTGAAGAATGCAAGAGCTTCATCTCAGGTCGGGCCCCGGATCAGGAGACAAAAACATTCCATAATCCATGTCTGTCTGTCTTTGTAAACTTGTACAACAGCTCCCACAGGCCCCCAAGAGACATGGGAACAAATGAAGGAGTTATTTTTTGTCACTGTGGGAGGCTGTTGTTGCTGAAAGGACCAGTGTGTAGGATTTGTGGCATCTAGCGCTGTAGTTGCAGATTACAAGCCCTTCACCTCCCCCTTCCATTCCAAGTATGTAGGAGACAGTAGATCCATGTGTATTAATCCGCAGCTGAAAATAGTCTCCAAGAAATGCACAATTTACTCTTCTTTGGGTAATGTTTGCTAAAAACCTACAGTGCCCAGCTGTTTTAGGAAATTATCTTTTTTAATAACAAAATTGTATATTTGTTACTTATGCAAAGGAAATGTCAGCATTTTCAGTCGGGTGGGTACGGCTTTATTTTAAATAGAAAACTACACATTTTAACATATCTAATGTTAAAGTTAAAGTTACTTGCTCTGATAGACGTACATGTAGGATAGAACTAGTGGATATTTTGTTTGTAACGTGACAAATTCCCTCTTCCTCTTTTTGTAAAATTTAACCATTAGAGAGATTATGAAGCAACATTTATAATCTTCAAACAATACATATTGTTTATTGGCTATATTCTGTGATGGGCAATTCATGTATCAGTGTGTATTTAAGTATGCATTTATGCATGCAAGCATGCGCATGAAAAGGCTCCAACTCAGACTATACTGGAGATGTAGCAACACTGGCACTATTATAAGTGCTAGTTTGTCAAAATCAAGACCATATGTCACACACATGTTGCTGCTTTATGTTGCAAGACGGATGTTTCGTCTTCAGGCTTTAGTTTTTGTTTTCTCTGCAGATTTTTCATTCCTATTTACTAGTTTTCCATTTTCCAACAGAGTCTGACCCACTGGCACATTGTGAACTGCAGAGTCCCGACTGTTCTCAGTGCTGGTCCTCTATGGTGCTAATATCTTGTCTTGACATGGCACCTTTTACAGTACTGCTCCTTGTCGTATTGATTTACTTTAGTGCTGACCACACACTATATGAATGAAAAGAGATTCCTAACATTTTTACCACAGAGCGCAGGGTTGCAGATATGAGAGGGAACGCTGCACTGACGGGAAAATGTTCGTAAACAAAGACGTGACACTGCGGCGTGGGTGTGGGAGAGGTCCTCTCCTTCCAGCTGTAGTAATATCCACTCTGTTTCCAGCTTCTCTCATGAGGGACCTGCATGCAGGCTGACCAATGAAATCATCAAATGCACAAACATATAAACAATCTATCCACCCAACATTGTCCACGTGCGTGAGAACTTTTTAGGACTGCTTGTTATTGTTGCTGAGGTTTTTGGAAAGCCTGGAACAGTAGCATGCATAACACCTGTCACACACACAGCTATCTCCTGGTTCGGGGGTTTAAACACAAAAATGGATACAGTGTTTTTGAAAATCAATACAGTATCGCAATAGTCAAGAGTATCAATATTTAAGTAGTAAGTAGGGAGCTTTTTGCTAACTTGTTTGCCAAATCTATTTTATAAGGTGACGTCAGTGCCCCCGAGTGGCCAAAAAAAATCCATTAATGCTGCTTTAAAGTGTGTTTTGTTTAGAAGCAGTTGAGAATATGTGTGACTAAGATGAAACTGAACTAGCAAAACGGGCCTGTGTTAAAGCTATGAGTTCACTTTTTGCCTGTTTAAAAGGTCTTCAGGACTCTTTAGGATTTATCTGCTTTTACTTTATTCTATTTATTTTGAGTATATTTTACTACAGTGTACAGGGACACCCAGGTGGCCTAGGGGTTAAAGTACTGCTGGTTCATGTCCAACTGGGGTCCTTAAATTGTTGCATAAGTCCCCATCTCTCTCTCTCCCCTCATTTCCTGTCATCTTTCTACTGCAGCTATAAAGGCATTAAACTGCCCCAAAACAGAGCTTTTTTCAAGCTATTTTTAGTCCAGTGTGTAACATTTAAAAGGATCTGATTGCAAAAATGGAATATAATATGCATAGGTATGTATTAGTGTATAATTATTGTGTGTGTATATATACACAGGTTATAACATTTCCTTAGAATGAGCTGTTTGTATCTATAGAGGCCGGGGGTCACCTTCTATGGAGTCTGCCATGTTGAACTGCCAGTAGCCCAGAATGAACAAACCAACACTGGCTCTAAATAGGGTATTTTGTGTTGTTTCGCCGCCACCCTAGTTCTTCTTTCACATTGCACAGCCCGCTCTCATTCCCAGGTTGTGAAATACATATCTGAGCAATGTTCGGTCAGTTACAATCTGCAGCTTCTTACACACTGAACTTATAAGTCCAATTCTATCAACCTTTTGCCTTGTAACATACATTTACATGACATGTTTGCAGATTGTACATGTTACTATATCAGCAAATGACATGTCATTTTTCCTACTTTGTCAGAGTTACCTTAACTGTATTGTGAGATAGTGTGTAGCATGTATGAATTGTGAAACAAGGTGCACTCCCAATATGTATTTAAACAAACCAGTTTAGACAGGACATTGGAGTCAAAACAGGAGTCACACGGATATAAGTCCTTTGTCTGAAATGTCTGAAACACCAAACAAATACATCAGAGCAGCTGAAGACCACAAAGATGAGCAAAAGAGGAGGAAGATGAGGAGGAAGAGCAGCTGGCTTGGAGTTCAGAGGGAAAGGAGCCTCTCATTGTATGTTCCTGTTTATATCTCTGCCTGTACAGAGAACTGGAGGGGTTCGTGGGTTGTTGATCTACAACGATTCCCCTCAAACAGAGAACAGAAGGACAGCAGGAAGACCAGTTCTCTAATTAGAACCTGCCTTCTTCTCATCTTCTTCTTTTCATCTCTCTGCTTCAGTGAGGGACAGTGAACAAGGTCACTATGGTGTATTCTAAATGGTACACTTTTATGTCAATGGATGTATATATTTTGCATACAAAAAAACAAAGTTTATAAGATAAAATATTTCTTTAAAAGTCCCACAATGGGGAAATTCCAATCTTACGATGTCTACAGGCCTCTGGAGAGAAGGGATCGGTCGCTAATATATGGACAAAACAACATGCTAAAGAACTCTTATTTTTGTGTATTATTTATTATTCATTCATTTATTGACTGATTTATCTATTCCTCTTAGTTTTTATTTTCGTACACCAGGGGGCAGCTTTGTGGAGCTTCCTATGCCTGACACCATCTATTGCGTTTAGCGCTGCTAGAATTTACATTTACTGCCCTCTTTTTGAACTCCAAATTTGAGGATAACTTTGCTTCTACAAAATCATATCTAAATAATAAATTACTGTGTGGGATATATTAACCATGGCAGATTATGTATGGAGACTTAAAAGCTCAATGTGCAATCTCAAGCTGCAAATAGTTCGAAGTGGGTAGTGTGCTTTCACAAACAACATTGTCTGTTCTTTTGCCTTGTTTTGTTATGGAGTCTTAACAAGATTAACTCTGGATGTATCGCCACTTAGCCTATTGTTGCACCAGTCTGGGTTGTTTTCTGTTGAAGCCGCCTACACGCAAACAAGTGTCTTCCAATTCAGCTCACACACTCCATCTCTTTTCTGAATACCATGATTCCACATGACATTGTGTAGGGCATATTATAATGTGTGTGTGGTGTATGTGTGTGATTGGTGCCAGCTAGTAACCTTAGTCCTAATCTGCAGATTGACTGAAGGCTAAATCCTGACTGCGACCACATGACAAAGCTGCGGACCGAGAGGCTCAGTTATCTGTGTGTGTGTGTGTGTGTGGTGTGTGTGTGTGTGTATGCCTGTGGTGTAGGCAGTCAGGGTCACTTAGGGGCTGGAGGCCAGATCTACACACACCACAACACACACAACACACTTGGTGTAAGTTATTGTTCGGTTTG